AGCTTCCACAGCAAGGGTTGTTTTTTCCTTTTTTTCCCTTTATTCTGCTTTAATTACACAGTAGTGAGAAAATCCCCATTTACCCAGAAAAGTAATGCATTCTTGCTTGTCCAATTTTACATTACTCGATAGGAGTTAGGTGTGAATTTTCACAAAAAATGTGTAAGACAGGCTCCCCAATCAACGATACATTTACAAGACATTTAAATATTTGCACAGAGAAAGCAAGAGAATCTTCATTACGGGGCTTGCACAAAGCCCAGTTAATCTGGCAGTATTCATGAGCCATACTAGGAAGATACAAGCAAATGACCGGCCTTGGCAGTTGGCGCAATGGACACAATGAAGGGTTATTGATGTTAGGGACAGAGAAGCCTTTCCCCACAAGAAAGTCTAAAGCCTGTTCTTTCCACCTCCTCCTCTTGACCTTGGAGCTGATAAGATTTTTAGGTTTTGCCACTGAGTATGCAGAGCTAGGAATACCGAACATCACTGAAGATTTTGTTTCTTGCTTGTGGTGGAAGGGATAGGGATGCATTTGAGGTGAACCTTGAAGGATGGGATGAGTTTGAACAGCCAAATTGAGGAAGAGGAGCATTGTAGGCAAAGGCAGTGGCATGCAAACAGAGAGTGGGAGAAAATCCTACCTAAAGAACTGAGAGGAGCCAGAGCAAGGACATCCTACACTTGCAGATCAGGAACTCTGGCACGCCCATTAAAGAGGCTGAGCCAAAGTTCTCCTTTGGGGCTAAATACAATGCCCTGTCCCTAGAATAGTCATCACTCCAGAATCAGGAAGAGGGACGAGAGGATGATATGGCAAAGGTGAAGGAACAATCGGAAACATCTCTCTTCTCTTGGCCAAGTTCCTCTTCCAAAGCTGTTTCAGCTCCTCTTTGTCTTTCTTAAGCCCCTGTGTAATAATGAGGGCTGTGGGGGTAAATGTGTAGAGGGCTTTCTGAGCTCCTGCAGAGAACTGAACAATAGAAACTTTGCAAACAAGGGGCTTTAAAAGTCCTTAATCCCAAGAAATTTAATAATATTCACAAACACAAGTTTAAATGAAAAACTTGAAAAGCAAAAAATGTCTGCTACATTAAGAAAGCATTAGTGGACTGTAATAAGGTTTTGATTTAATCTCTTTAGCAAGCCCTTAATACTCTGCATCAAATACAAAGCTAATCTTCCTGTTTCCTCTGAAACTCCACCTCAGCAAATTGTTCATCCAGCCATGGAAAGAAATTGAAGCCTCTTCAAAATTTATTCTGCCCACTGGCAAACCAGCTGAGGTTTTCAGGTCGTATTTTATACCACCTGCATCTTGCTTTGGACTCACGGTGATTACTTTGTGGATTAAATAGTCCTCTACCTATAGTCACGTTTTTAAGTTGCAAAACTTAAAATACTTTCCAAGTAGTTACCCACAGATATGACTTCTCTTCCTCCTTCAGTCACCTTCTTTCCTCCTCTCCTACTTCTTCCTATAATTTGTAGACACTCTGAGTCTACTTCTCACCTGGGCACAAGCTGAATACTGTGTGTCTCCCCCTTCTTTTGTCTCTAGGTCATTCACTCAGCTTTAAATTGCTCTTTTATTCTGGCTCTTCAAGTCTTCCTTAGGGGAATCAATCTCAAACTCACTTCAATGCTACCTGTGTGTTTCAGAATCAACCCATTTTCCTCTGCAAGCTGCAATACTTCTTCCCTTATTTTAAAAATTGTAAAATAATGAAATAATGTAAAATAATAATAAAATGACCAATTCTAAGAAAGATTTGAATCCAGTTCAGCTAAATTACCCTTATCTTTATAAAGTATATCAAAAGATGTCTGCAAATTCTATCCAAGAAATGGAAGTACACACTAAAATCTCCAGTTTTAACAACTTTACTGGAGCAGTAAAAGCGACTCATTTAGATATTGTTTCCACATCTGAAAAGTTACTTATGCTTATTATTACAATTAACAATAATAATACTTCACAATTATATATCATATTAAATTTTATAACATGTGGTCACAGGTATTTTCTCACTTGTCCTCACAATAACTCCGTGAGGTAGGCCAAGCAAATATTATTGTTCTTCCCATTTTACAGATGAGAAAACTGGTAATGAGATAAAGATTACCCAACTAGTTAATAATGAAGTTAGATGCTGAATCCAAGTTTTCTGCCTTCTGGTTCAACATGTGTGTTGCTAGCAGACACTAACGAGGTAAACTGTAATTACCTGGGATTCAGTTACAAGATGTTTCATTGTCTGAATAAACGGATTAGAATCACATCAGAGAACTGACTCTTAACCGATAAGCTTGAGGGAAGAGAAAGAGGTTAAATATACAGAGGAAGAGATCTGTACCACTCCCAGATCAAGTGTTCACCTGCTGCCATTAAACTGAAACTAAATGAACTACCTCTGCTGCCTCATGGTTTCACTTTCTCTGCATAAGAAGTATAATTTCCTGAATATTTAAATTAAATTTTAAGTTTGTAACTTTAATACAGTTTCATTAAAGCAAAAAGTGAGGTGGTTTCTTCTCGAGTGGAAGTTAATACTTTACATTCTTCTATCTCAGATTTTTATCTGTAAAGGAGCATGAACTTACCCCTTTAACTGCATGAGGCATTGTCATCCATCATGCACTCTGCTCCCTACTAACAGACTGTTGGCCAAAGAGAGGGAGAGTAGAGTCCAGGGTGGGGATGCGATGTGGCCAAACAGGCTAAGGCGCCAGCAGAATTTTTCTGCCTGTGGCCAATTCTGCCTCTTGAAAAAGTTCTGCTCCTAGTGAAGGCAGTGGGGCACAGCCATCTCTTCCCACTGCCAGCTAAGAGAGAACAAAAATCAAAACCAGGACACCCGGCTTCACATGCTCACACTTACTGTGCTGCTCTGCATGAAAAGGCAGGCCAAGATTCAACGCATTCCAACATCATTCTTTATTCATCGGTCCAGAGATTTCCAAACTTTGAAAAAATACAAAATCCAGCTCATCCCATTCTTTACCTAAAAAAAACTTTTTAAAATTGAATTTATTATTTTTCCTACTAAGAAAACTCCTATGCATTTACTGTGGAAAGCTTTGAAAATGTATTTATCTTTCCTTTTTAAAATGAATTCAGTTTTGCATTTGACGCATACATGCTGTATTCTTCAGAACACTAAAGGTAGGGCAAAGGCAAGGAACCATATTTGAAATTGTAGGAGCTCCACTCCCAAGAAGAGAGGCAGAAAGAGCAGTAAATGTAGTATATGCCAAGGAGGTGCGCGTGTGTGTGTTGGGGGCGTAGATTACTTAATCGTGAATATGGTACATTGCAAGCAAAGTCTTCACCAGCTGCTCCCAGCAACCATATGGCTCTTCTTTCCAGAACATTCCCAATACCAAATAGTCTGTTCTTCTGTCTCCATAAATACAATTTGTAGCTGTCACCTCTCTTGTTATAATTTTCAGTTTAACCCTTGCATGGAGTATTAATTACATAATTTTAGGTGAGGGATCACTGTGATGTGTGCTGATTATATAAATCCACCAGGAATGTGAACATATTCAAAAAGTAATTTCATACTAGATCTTGCTCTCATTCAGTTATATGAAGCATGAATCCACCACATCACATCTTTAAATTCTACTGGGGATATTATTTAATTAATTAGATACAGAATATATTACACTTTTCAGGCCACGTAGTGAACAAACATATTAGCTAAAATCTAGAGGAAGAAAAAAAATCAAATTGCTTTATTTTTAAGAGACCAAGTCCTCTTTTCCTCTACTTGCAGGTAGTGTTGTTCATTCCTAGGACTGTGGCAGGGGAGAGGGACACGAACAGAGAAAGGAAGTTTCAAGCTCACTCTTGCTTCATTGTGAGCAATGCATGTGATTAATACAATTTCTCAAGCCCATTTAAGGTTAACTTTTCCATATTTTCTTGGGCCTGGTCTCCCAGGCACCATATGAAATGACATGTGAATAAATTACGGATATGTATAAGAAAAATAGACACTAAATCTCTCAACAAAAGGAATATACCATATAACTTTCTCCCCTCCACTTTGTTCCTTCCTGACCTCAATTTTAGTGAGTGAAATACTTTTGGTCAGAAGCATTGGCTATCCCTGTAGTTCTTAGTGAAGCAGGTTTGGTGCATCTTCCAGCTGAGTTTAGATTGTCTGAAAACTCTGGGTGAGTCAACAATGCAATCTGACCATAAACGTCATGTGGTCAATATAGGAATGATATTCAGCTTAAGAAACAAGTGGTCACACTGCACCAGGAGTACTGTGCAAGGCTTTGTTCCCTGGCAACCTGGACTGTCGAGAGGAGGGAAACAAGGGTAATGGGACCAAATCATCAAATGGGGAATGGCAGAGAGACACTGAGCTTGGCAAAAAGAAGAGTGAAATGAGACAGCAGCTGTCTTCAATGATCAAAAGGGCCATGTGTCAACAGGAGGTGACTTGCCCTAGAAATTCCAGGGAGGCAGATTTCAGTCCAATATGAGGCAGAACTAATAAAGATGGCCAGAGACTAAACAGGCTACCTCAGGAAACAGTGAGTTCCCCATTCCTGGAGATGTTCAAGCAGAGGTAGGAGAAACCATTCACTGGAGATTTTAAAATTGAAATACAGGCATACCTTGTTTTATTGTGCTTCACTTTATTGCAACCCTGTGTCAAGCAAGTCAATCAGCGCCATTTTTCCAACAGCATTTGCTCACTTCATGTCTCTGTGTCACATTTTGATAATTCTCACAATATTTCAAATTTTTTCATCATTATTAAATTTGTTATGGTGATCTGTGATCAGTGATCTTTGATGTTACTACTGTAATTGTTTTGGGGTGCCATATAAGACGGCAAACTTAGGCGATAAATGTCATGTATGTTCTGACTGCTCCACCGACCAGCTGTTCCCCCATCTCTCTCCCTCTCCTTGGGCCTCTCTTTTCCTTGACACACAACAGTATTGAAATTAGGCCAATTAATAACCCTACAATGGCCTCTAAGTGTTCAAATGAAAGGAAGAGTTGCACATCTCTCACTTTAAATCAAAATCTAGAAATGATTAAGCTTAGTGAGGAAGGCATGTCAAAAGCCAAGACAGGCTGAAAGCTAGGCCTCTTGTGCCAAACAGACAAGTTGCACATGCAAAGGAAAAGTTCTTGAAGGAAATTAAAAGTGCTACTCCAGTGAACACACAAACGATAAGAAAGCGAAACAGCCTTATTGCTGATATGGAGAAAGTTTTAGTGGTCTGGATAGAAGATCAAATCAGCCACAACATTACCTTGAGCCAAAGCCCAATCCAGAGCAAGGCCCTAACTCTCTTCAGGTCTATGAAGGCTGAGAGAGGCGAGGAAGCTGTAGAAGAAAAGTTTGAAGCTAGCAGAGGGTGGCTCACGAGGTTTAAGGAAAGAAGCCATCTCCGTGACATAAAAGTACAAGGTGAAGCAGCAAGTGCTGATGTAGAAGCTGCAGCAAGTTATCCAGAAGATCTAGCTAAGACAATAAATGAAGCTGGCTACACTAAACAACAGATTTTCAATGTAAATGAAACAGCCCTCTATTGGAAGAAGATGCCATCTAGGACTTGCATAGCCAGAGAGGAGAAGTCAATGCCTGGTTTCAAAACTTCAAAGGACAGACTGACTCTCTTGTTAGGGGCTAATGCAGCTGCTGCTGACTTTAAGTTGAAGCCAATGCTCATTTACCATTCAGAAAATCCTAGGGCCCTTAAGAATTATGCTAAATCTACTCTGCCTGTGCTCTATAAATGGAATGACAAAGCCTAGATGACACCACATCTCTTTACAACATGGTTTACTGAATATTTTAAGCCCACTGTTGAGACCTACTGCTTGGAAAAAAAGATTCCTTTCAAAATATGACTGCTTACTGACAATGCACCTGGTCACTCAAGAGGTCTGATGGAGATATACAACAAGATTAATGTTGTTTTCATGCCTACTAACACAACATCCATTCTGCAGCTCATGGATCAAGGAATAATTTTGATTTTCAAATCTTATTATTTAAGAAATACATTTCATAAGGCTATAGCTGTCATAGAAAGTGATTCTTCTGATGGATCTGGGCAAAGAAAATTGAAAACCTTCTGGAAAGGATTCACCATTCTAGATGCCATTAAGAACATTCGTGATTTATGGGAAGAGGTCAAAATATCAACATTAGCAGGAGTTTGGAAGAAGTTGATTCCAACCCTCATGGATACTTTGAGGGGTTCAAGACTTCGGTAGAGGAAGTAACTGCAGATATGGTGGAAATAGCAAGAGAACTAGAATTAGAAGTGGAGCCTGAAGATGTGACTGAGTTGCCGCAATCTCATGATCAAACTTTAATGGATGAGGAGTTGCTTCTTATGGATGAGCAAAGAAAGTGGTTTCTTAAGACGGAATCTACTCCTGGTGAAGATGCTGTGAAGATTGTTGAAATTACAACAAAGGATTTAGAATATTATATAAACTTAGTTGATAAAGCAGCAGCAGGGTTTGAGAGGACCAACTCCAATTTTGAAAGCAGTTCTATTGTTGGTAAAATGCTATCAAACAGCATCACATGCTACAGAGAAATAATTCATGAAAGGAAAGGTCAATCAATGCAGCAAAATTCACTGTTGTCTTATTTTAAGAAACTGCCACAGCTGCCCCAACCTTCAGCACCCACCACCCTGATCAGTCAGCAGCCATCAACATCGAGGCAAGACCCTCCACCAGCAAAAAGATTAGCACTCGCTGAAGGCTCAGATGATGGCTAGCATTTATTAGCAATAAAGTATTTTTAATTAAGGCATGTACCTTGGTTTTTTAGACATAACGCTATTGCACACTTAATAAACTACAGTATAGCATAAACATAACTTCTGTATGCACTGGGAAACCAAAAAATTCGTGTGACTTGATTTACTGCAATATTAGCTTTATTGCAGTGGTCTGGAACCAAACCTGCAATATCCCCAAGGTATGCCTGTATAGGGATTGCCCTAAACGGCCCTTAAGGATGCTCTGCCACTCTGGACTATATTATCATTTTCCCTTCTCTGGTCCTCAGTCTCAACTGGGATCCTAAGAGAAGCACTGGAAATCTTCCTATATTATAAATGAGGTCATTGCTGAGCTCCCAACCTACCTTCACCAACAGGTGTGGCCTCTCTTGGTTGGTCTGGGAACACAATAGGGATTTCAGGCTGTGCTGCAGGTAACTCAAAAAAACTCTGATTCCAACCTGAGTGGGGCTTGACCCAAGTCAGTTACAGGCACCTGCACACATAGCCCCCTTCACGAAGCCCCCACAGCTACCTCCGACATATAGGCATCTTTGTGCTTGCACCCAGACCTCTGTGTGCAACAGCCAACTCCCCTTTACAGGCTCCCTTGTAATGAAAGCCTCTCAAAATGCACATGTTCAGTGGCATGCGCAAACCCTCTTTAGTACAAATGCAGTTGCCCAATCAGCATCCTTATCCCCTGTCTCCAGTCCTGATCTAGGCTGTCATGCATCCTCCCCAAGCCAAGTTGGTAGACACCTGGAAGTCTCAGATCTGAACAAATCACAGCCCAGACATTGGCTCTTTGCTATTGGTTTACCAGGTCTGCAGCCCTTGCCATAGACTGAACCCAGTGGGCAAACTCAGGTGCAAAAAAATCAAAATAATACAAATACATCCCAGCCACTTCACCCTCTGTGCTCTGACACGACATAGTAACCCTCCCATTTCTCAACAGAGATATGCAACCAAATACACTGTATCATCTTAACCAGGAAACAAACAGCCTTATCCTGGACCCTCATTCCTAAAAAGTTACATCCCTATCCTCGCTTCTGCCACACGCAAGAAAGAAAATCTTCAGCGACCTCTGATATGTGAAATAAGGCAAACTGTTGATCACCATGTGCCATCAGCGACAGAAGACATTGCCAAGATATTTCAAATGGCTTTTTCTGTGGCCTCACTTGAAGTGCTTCTTTCACTTCTCTCCATTGCACTACGGCGAAGCCCAGCAATTGTTTAAATAAGACTCTCAGGATGTACCATGGAAGTCACTGACAGGCGTTCTTGGATACTTACAAGCCATAAGGTATTTCCTGACTTCCTCAAGGTCTCTGCTGTGCCACTTTTCCCCTTTACATCCAGGAAAATGAGTTCTTCAGACAATGGAGACAAAAGTTTCCTTTTCTTACTCAGATAATGGCGACTCTGAACACAATTACATTCTGGGCAGTAAGAAAACTTCTGTGGCAGTCTGAGGTGGCTGGAACCCTTGGCGATTCCCTCCCCAACCCTGGACGTAGCTGCAGGTGACCTAGAGAAAGCCCTTGTGACTATGCCCCAGGGGCTCAGAGGATCTTTCTGGCTGCACTTCCTCTCCTCTCTTCTCAACCTTCTAGCCCTGTCTGCATATCTTCAATTTCCATACAAGTGCCTTGACTTAGCCCATTTGACAGCTGTGAGATGCGCTGGTCAGGCTCTTGAGATTTCAGGGGCACTGATTTTCTGGCTCTAGGACCGCCTGGGATACCTGCTCTACAGTCATGGGCCAGAGCAGCCTCACTGCTGAGCCCAACTCAGGCCCCCAGGACCCCAAGCAGATGGTTGCTACCCAGACTCCATGCTGGGGCGGGGAATAAATAATCTTTTACATCTGTTTCAACCTTACAGCTCACAAGTACTTCCATGGGCATTTCAATCTAACAATGAGCCTTATCGAGCGTTAAGGAGGGCAGGTGTAATGTCACTGCCGTTTTTACAGATGAGAAAATAGAGATACAGAAGATGCCCCAGGTCATATGAATAAATGGGGGAGTCAACATAAGGCACTGTTGAGTAATACTACTACTCCTATTACTACTTCTACAACTATTACTCCTAACAACAACAACAGCAATAGTAGCTTATGAATATTATGTTTATGAGTACTGACAGAAAGAATTCAGTGCACAACATTAGAAAAGCAACGCTTCTAATTGAATTTTGCAACTTCAGTTAATTGTTCTCCGGCAAGTATCTCCTTTTGAACAGGATCGGCTACATAATTTGTGGGGCCCAGTGCAAAATGAAGATGTGGGGCCCTTTTTCAAAAATTATTAAGAATTTCAAGACCATAACAGCAGGACATTAAACCAAGCATGGAGCCCTTCTAAGCACAGGGCCCTATGAGACTGCACAGGTCACAAGTCCACAAAGCTGGTCCAGCTTTTGAGCCCTCAAGAGATAACTAAGTCTTAGCATAATGTTTAACTGGAGGAAACATGTTATTGGGTGGCTTATTCTTCTCATTTCGTGAAAATTTTTGGTTTTGTTACCTCTTGTAAGTCTCTCATACCATCAAGAGTATCACTAGAATCAGGAAGTACATTATCTCAAGAATCAATGAAAAAACCCTAGACTTGTCATCCAGGAATTGTGGAGTTTTGATTCATCTTGCTGACCCTCTCAAATACTATACAAAACAAAAACTAGGAGAGCAGCTCAATCTCCATTCCTCCCTCTCTTATGCCCTTCAGTCAAGAAAGGATACACTGAATATGTTAAAACTAAGCATGCCAAGGAGAAAGGCTCTCTCTGTTAGCTCACTTCTGAAGAACAAACAGTGCCACTGAAGGCACAGCCTCACACAAGACGGTGCTAAGTGGTTCTCACAACAGAGATGCTAGACATTTTCACTCTGGAGAGAGCCAGTCTGTCCCCAGCCATAACCCTACTCATCACAATTCTTCCCTAGCCCTCCCACTTCCAAGCCAGGAAACAAAGAAAAGAATGCTAGGAAAACCATTAACAATTAAGATGGAATGTATAGCATAATGTTAAGTGCACTATGATAAATTTTTAAATGAGAGCCACATTTTGTTTGTTGCAAATACAATAATACACAGAAAAGGTGTTTTCACTAGGCTGATGTCTTCGGGTTTGGCTTTCTGCCCTCTAAGATCCCTTTTTCTTGACAAATGACTTACCATATTTAACCAATTCTAAGATGCATATCTTCTTGACATTTTCACATCTCTGAAATCAGAATGCACCTTATAATCAATGGCATTTTACAATCACTTTCGGCCAGGAAGCAGTTGAAAGGGAATTGTCATTGCCTGTGTATACTCAAACCTGGTCATGACTACTGTAGATCATGATATATAATAAAAATATATGTCTAAATAAGCCGAAAAGAGCTCTTTCAGTAAGTATAAAATTAAAATTCTATGGCTATGAAAGCATTACATCACAGTTTATTTGGAAGTGTTTTTTTTTCTGTCTTAGTGTTACATAAAAAGGCATCTCAGATGTGAAGAAATACTTCATATCTTCAATAGAATGCAATATCCACCACTGACATTTTTTTTTTTTTTGCTGTGGAAGATTAGCCCTGAGCTAACATCTGTGTCAGTCTTCCTCTACTTTATATGTGGATCACTGCCACAGTGTGGCTCACGAGTGGTGTAGATCCACGCCTGGGATCCAAACCTACGAACCCGGGCTGCCAAAGCAGAATGCACAGAACTTAACCACTACGACACTGGGCCAGGCCAGCCCCTCCACCACTGACATTTTTGAAGAGTTTGAAAAGCTTTACATGCACCCACTGAGAAGCCATCCAAAATTCATATTGGGAAAACTTCTAGGTACTAATAAGACTACTTTTGAAATATCCTTAATGGAATATTGTTTTTTTTTTTACTTTTTCCTGCTTACAACTAGAAATTCCCCAACCTGGAAACCCAAACACTAGTAAAAGATACTGGCTACATCAGAACACCAATATACTGGACCAAATTAGTGGACACGTTTTCCATGGTTGTGTTTTTAGAGGAAGTTAGATAATTCCAATATAAGCTCTAGAGCAGCACTATCATATAATACATATAATGTAAGCCCCATATGTAATTTTAATTTTCATGTTCTAACAATTTAAAAAGTTTAAAAAGCAGGTGAAATTAATTTTAATAAATATGTGTTATCAAACAATATATCCAAACTATCATTTCAATATGTCATCAATATAAAAATATTAATAGTTTATTTATGTTTGCCCTGTCTTTGAAATCCAGTGTATATTTTACTCTTTTATCATATCTCAGTTCACACCAGCTGCATTTCAAATGCTCAATAGCCACATGTGGCTAGTGGCTCCCATATTGGACAATGCAGGTGTAGTCAATACATATACTTATCAGCAAAACAAAATAATCCCGTCCAGAACATTTGGCTCAAACATGATCAGTCATAGAAGCATTTGGTAGAAATTCAAGAGCGGCAGCTATTTCCACTACACTCTTGTGAATGTGAACTACAATACATTGGTTATCCCAACAATGACAACAATATATTGCTCTGGGGCAATCCTGCTGGAGATAGTCTAGAACAGTGGTCTTCAAACTAGGCTACTGGTACACGAATTCTTTTCAAGAAGTATGTGAAGAGGGATAGTTTGCAGGGAATCCACTCTCAGATTCTTAACTTTCATGTGTTCTCACCTAAAATTGATCTGCCTAAGAACAACTTTTTGTCTACTTGCTTAAAATTAAACATAATTTTGCAACTATTCCAATACTAATCACTTAAATGTGTCATTAAGTGGAAAGAAAAGCATCTCCTAATTGATAGCAGCATATATTGTTGATGCTGATTGTTTTAAATATAACTAGAATGTTTTCCAGTACTACAAAATGTTTACACTGGTGAAACTTATGCACAGAAATTGTATGCAATTTCTTTCAGATAAGGTACATCATTCGATTAAACTAGTTAAAACCTGTTTTCTCAGACTGTGTCTTGAAATATCTTTTCCAATTAAAGTCAATCCTCATTTCATTTTCTAAATAATTATATATTTTCTACCTCTTATTATCACTTGATCTTAGCCAAAAGGCTGAGAAGCGATACCTCTTATTATCAAAAATAAAATGATACGGTAGTTGCCAGGTCAATTATTTTTTAG